AGTGCCAGCTGGGCAGGCACAGCAGGCAGGCAAGGGCTGTGGTGGGGCACAGAGCCCACCCTGACCCCACAACTCTCTCTTCCCCTGCAGGTCAGCCCAAGGTCTCACCCACCGTCCACCTCTTCCCGCCATCCTCTGAGGAGATCTCCACACTGAACAAAGCCACCCTGGTGTGTCTGCTGGAGAACTTCTACCCCCGTGCCGTGACAGTGTCCTGGAAGGTCAATGACAAACCCGTCACCAGTGGTGTGGAGACCAGCCTGGCCCAGCGACAGACCAACAACCAGTACATGGCCAGCAGCTACCTGACGCTGAGTGCCAGTGAGTGGAAGGCGAGCAACTCTGTCGTCTGCGATGTCAAGCACGAGGCTGGCAACGTGGAGAAGACCGTGAAGAGATCTGAGTGCCCCTAATCCCACTTGGCCCTCCCTGCACCTGCCAGACCTTTGCTGGCTCCCTCCCCCCTCCCCACTGCTGGGGACAGCGGCTCCCCCCATGCCGCAGATGTCTCTTCCCATGTCCCCCTGTCCCCTGCTCCTGTCCCCCCACTCTGTCACACAAATAAACACCGACACTGAACTAGCGCTGGCTCAGCATCTCTGTCTCTCTGTCCTTCCAATGCACCTGCTCCCCCCTGTGCTGCCTGGCATCAGCCCAGAGGCACCAGTATGGAGGGTGGGATAGGAACAGATATGTGCCTACACACACACACTGATATTACAGGGTCTTCATGCAGCTTTTGCTCAACCCTGGGGACCCCAATGAACCCTCCTGGCACTGCCAAAGCCAGAGGATGATCATCCTGGAGCACAGCCTCCTCTAAGCCCCCATGACATCATCAAGCATGTGGCCCTGGCTGTGCCTCTGGGTGCCAGGTGCCTTGCAGGAACACATGGCCTGTAGTGGGGGCATAGCCAGCCACATCCCTTTGCTGGCAGCCCTGTCTCTGTCCTCATTTCCTCAGTCTCCAAAATGGGGGTAACAGTGTAGCCACCAGTTGAGCACATGCACTAGTCTAACCCTTGCACCGTGCACCACAACAGCATGGGCTTCTGCATGCCATGTGCCCTCACTCCATCCCTGGCACAGCTTTCATAAAGTTCCCATGTGGCCCTGCAAATGGAGGGATTGATGGTCATGGCTATGCCGAAAGCAGCCGTGGTCTGCTGCTGTCGTCCCATCAGAGCAGCCAGAAGCCACCCCGGGGACAGGAGATTGAAGCATCCATCCATCCTGTGAGCAATTCTGGGGGAGATGTCCCTCACAGCCTCTTGGAAAAAGGGGGATAGCCCCACTACACCCCCCTCCCCAGGCTCTGTTGTGCCAGTGTGGTGCCTCACCCCACCAGGCTTTGGGTTGCCACATCCCTACTGGTGCTTTCTGGGGACACAGAATCATAGAACCATACAATGGTTTGGGTTGGAAGAGACATTTAAAGGTCATCTACTTCAACCCTCTGGAATAAACAGGGACATCTTCAACCAAACCAGGTTACTCAGTGCCTGGTCCAGCCTGACCTTGAATGTTTCCAGGGGTAGGGCATCCACAGCTTCCCCTGGCAACCTGTGCCAGCACTTCACCAATAGATAGATTTTTATCTAGCCTAAATCAACCCTTCTTTGGTTAAGAAACATTACCTCTTGTCCCATTGTATCTGGGTCTGCTAAAAAGTCTGTCCCCATCGTTCATATAAGCCCTCTTTAAGTACTGAAAAGCAGCTATATGGTCTCCCCAGAGCCTTCTCCTCTCCAGGCTGACCAACCCCAACTATCTCAGCCTTTCCTCATAGTACACCAGTGCTCAGAAATCTTTGTGGTCTCCTCTAGACTAGCACAAACAGGTCCATGTCCTTTTTACTTTGGAGACTCCAGAGTTGGATGCAGTACTTGAGGTGGGTTCTTACTAGAGCAGAGTATAGGGGGATAATCTTCTACCTTGACCTGCTGGTCATGCTGCTTTTGATGCAGCCCAGGCCATGGCTTTCTGGGCTGCAGGTGCACATTTCTGGGTCATGTCCAGCTTTTTATCCACTAATACCTTCAAATCTTTCTCAGCAGTGCTGCTGTCAATTCCCTCATCTCCGGCCTGTACTGATATCAGGGCACAGGAATTATGCTCAGAGCCTGGCCATGGGGAGTGACCCCATCTGGGGCAGCCCCATGCCTGTCCCAGGGACTTGGACCCTCACAACCACCATGGCTCCTTCCTGCATCCTGTTGGCAATAAGCTGCCCCAGGGAGGCACGGGGCCAGGAACACTGTTACTGTGGGACGGGCACTCCCCACACTGGCCTAGCTTGGGGCAGAGCCCCAATAAATGGAAGGAGGAAACACTGCTCAGTGCAGCACTGTGACCATGTGTCCTCCCTCCTGTAGCCATCGGTTCTGTCTACCATGGCATCTCTGCCCCATCTGCCTCAGTGTCTCCAGCCATCCTACCTGTTCCAACACCTCCATCCATCCCAGAAAGATCCAGTGGAGCTGCACACCCAAGCTCTTTACTGTTTCTTTTTACCCAACTGTTCAGCAACCACTTGAGGATTTCTCAGGAAGTTAAGAAAAAGAATGAAACCAAAATCTTCTGCCAAATTCAAACTCTACAAGACAAGATCCAAAGGGGCAGTTGCTGCTCTCTGCACTGTTCTTTGACTGGCAAAACATCTCAGGAGAGGAGAACCCCAGGGAATGAGCACCATGGCAGCAATCCCAAACCTTCCAGGAAAGCAACTATAAGAGAAACCTGAAGTGGAACTAAGTTTCTTTCATCCATCTGTTGCTCCCATGGACATGCCAAGATGGGCAGTGATGACCTGAACAAAATAGTGGTCCTGCCGCTAACAAAAGGAGTCTCACACCCCTCAGCACTGCAAGGGATCTCACAGCAATGCCAACACTGGGTTTTTGTATTTCATATTTATACAGATTCATAGAATGAACCATTTAGGTTGGAAATGACAGCTAAGATAATCAAGTCCAACCTTAACCCAGCACCAACATGTCCCCAAGTGCCACACCCTCACATTTCCTCATCCCTTCTTCCCTTCTGCTTTTTGGCAGGGAACTGGCAGCAAGGACTGATCCCACTAGAGGTGCCAAGTCAGCACCTTGTGCTCCAAAATAACTTTATTGACATTATCCTGGCTTTATCCTCCTCCCCAGTTGGGCAAAGAAGACCTTGCTATGGCACAGCCCTATGCATAGGGCAAATCCCCCTCCCCATCACCCTGGACAGGGCACTGGGCTGATGGAGGCAGTCACAGTGTCCCTTCCCATGTGTGGGGTGACAGGCTTGGGGTTTTCCCAGGAAATCACATCCATACAGAGCAAACCCACATGCAGGCCAGACTGCAGCATCCTGGGCTGCTGCTGGCCCCAGAAAAGGAGCCTGCAGCAGGATACCAGCCTGCCTTAAAGCCAGGGAAAGGAAGGAAGGGCGGATGATGGAGGGAACTGTCCCACTGTGTTTCAAGTCAGGCCTCTTTTAGACACAGTTTCCTGAGCAGAAAGAGCCTGCAGTGGCAGAGAGAGAGAAGTGGCAGAGATCTGACAGACTTGCTCCTGGGGGTCTGCTGGACTGTGCCAAAGGGTCCTGGAGGTGAGGGTCCCTGCAGCACAGCCATGTCCACCCACTTCAGCACACTGCTGGGGAACATGAACCCAGAGAAGGCAGCAGCTCCTCCATCCTCCTGCTGAGCTCCTTCCCACTCTCAATTGAGGTTATTCCCTGGCAAATCCCTGCCTGCAGCATCTTGTCCCCAGCCTCATGGTGCTGCCAGGAATTTTGCCCAGGACAACAGCTGCCTGGGATTCTGCCAGTCAGAAATGCCCCAGACTGAAACCTGCTGCCAGGAAGGACACTTGTTTCTTTTCCACTGGAAAGCTCAAGCCTCAGTAATTGTTCATTCCAGCAGTTGGCAAATCACACACTCATCAGTGATTGAGGCTGGAATGAATGACAGGTAAGACAGGAGCCCCCATCCCAGACATGCTGCCAGGCTTTACTCTGATAAATGCCACATTTGAGGGGGAGATGGGGGGAGGGCATGTCAGCTGAAGGAGAGTGGGTAGCAGGGCAAAACTTCCCAGAGGGCTTGAAATACATCTTGATAAATCATGGATAAAATCTATTCCTTGGTCACAGGACACCAGCCCCAGATTTTGTGGGCTCAGCTTGGGGCAGGTCCTGCTGGACCACTAGCTGAGGTTTCGCTTCAGCTCAGGTCTGGGCGGGCAGAGCACAGGCACATCTCTGACTCCAGAGTCAGAAAACCTCACTAATTATTGATTAAAAGATTTTTCTAAATCTTTTCCATAAGCAACAACTGGCAAGAAAAAGCCTGATGAATTATAGATCAGTGGCCCTGGCCCCCCAGGGCTACCATCCTCCTCGGCTGCCTGCAGCTCAGCAAATTCCCAGCCATAGTTTTACCCATAACAAGCCTTCAACAGGGCTGGAGAGTGTCTGCTGGGAATCACAGAGGGACGCAGGGCCTGATCCATCCCCCAGCCTGGGAAGAACAGTCCAGTCCCACTTCCACTCTCACTGGGGTTTTCTGATGAGCAAATGTGCTGAGCAGAACCAACTCCTCGGCTGCCTGCAGCTCAGCAAATTCCCAGCCATAGTTTTACCCATAACAAGCCTTCAACAGGGCTGGAGAGTGTCTGCTGGGAATCACAGAGGGACGCAGGGCCTGATCCATCCCCCAGCCTGGGAAGAACAGTCCAGTCCCACTTCCACTCTCACTGGGGTTTTCTGATGAGCAAATGTGCTGAGCAGAACCAAACTCAACTCTCCTCTCCTCCCGCCTCCCCTCTCCTCTCCTCTCCTCCAGCTCCTCCTCTGTCAGCTCCTGCACTGCAATTTAACAGTCATTTGTATTCTTGTTTCCCCAGCTCGCTAGTAATTTTTAAATGAGTAGGATCTAATTTAATAAATGAGATGCTTCAGGAGGGCTTTAATTATCTGCAGCTAGAGGCAGTGGGTCCCACAGAGGATTGAGGCCTGGTGGGAGATGTGCTCCCAGGCTGAGAATGCTGAGTGAGGGCTTAGCAAGAATTTTGGTGGGGTTTGATAAAACCTAGGGGTTTAAACACCTTGGGCTTGGAGGTGTCCTACAGCCAAGACTAGAGGGACAGAGGCATGGATGAAGGCAGAGGGGTGTGGGACTACAGGAATTCTTGCAACCCTTGCCCCAAAACCACTGCCTCCAGCCTCAAATGCAAAGCTCTGCTCCGATCCCCAAACCCTGCCCTGGGTCCCCTCTGTGGGGATGATCTCTGGCCAGGTTTTTCCCCCCAAAACCAGCCCTGATGCTTTTCTTTATTGCACATCACTCAGTGATTTCCCAAGGCCAGGCAAGACCCAGTGTCTCATGCCAGGAGCTGGGGTCTCTCTTTGTGGGGACGTGGCAGGA